TATATATATATATATATATATATATATATATATATATATATATATATATATATATATATATATATATATATATATGTGTGTGTGTGTGCCAGAGTTAGCTATAAAGCTGATTTATATCTGTACTACCTGGGCAGGAAGTTACAAATTTAATAGTAAAAAATAATACATTATACACTTAAAATACAATACATGCAATACATCATTCTCAATAAAATACAATCAAATCAGTGGCTGCCTATTTGATTTTGTTTAAGCCAAATTTTAAGAACAGTTTAATGATTTCAAATCAATTTAATTCATCCTGGTTAAGAATTAGTGATTGGAAGTTTTTACCTCACTGTGATTTTTAAGGGTGTAAAAAAAACTTTTATAGAGTTAGCATGTGTTATTATTTCATAAATTTGTCTAGAATCATATAAGATACAATAACAGGCAAGATCGTCAACTATGGAGAAGTTTCTTAGATTTTGTGCAGCTAATGCTTTCATCCAAAGCATCAGTTGCATGTAAGCTGGAGATTTCATTCATTCAGTTCATTGATTGGTCATTTGGCATCATCTCTTCAGGACAGACTCACATTTTCTTCTGAATTTGTTTCTCAGACAGATGTAACTGGGTTCATTTAATATCAGCAGTGTGACGCCCAAGTGCTGCTGCTCATCACACACAGATCAAATGAAGAGAAAGACTGAAATCATGACAGATGAACCCACGTGTGCGTGTGTGCACCTGCTGTCCTACATACAGGAGATCTCATCATGTGTGTGTTTGCTCATGTTCAGGCAGTAGATTATCAGCTCATCTGACCAGCTCATTTAACCCTTAATTGCACTGCTGGTTTGTAAAAGGCTATTTAAAAAAGCTGATGATCTGGATGAGTGGTGGAAGACACACAAAACACACAAAAGAGTTCCACAACTGCAGCTGAAATTCACTTTTACATCCAACAAAACGATTATATATGCTTAATAGAATAATAGAACAATGCAATGTCGCTCACCTTACAAAGCCTGGTCTTACCATGCATGTCCTATGGTAGGTAGAAGTGTTGTCAATTAAGTAGTTAGTATAGTAATTTAATTATGTGTTAACCATTTTATATGCATAATTCAGTTTTTTTTCTTCTTTTTTGTATAAATGTTCTACAAAAGGATAGAAGAACAGCAACATCTAAATTGATCAATAATTTAAGTTTTATCATTCATTCATTTTCTTTTCAGCTTGGTCCCTTTATTAATCAGGGGTCGCCACAGCGAAATGAACCACCAACTTATCCAGCATATGTTTTATGCAGCGGATGCCCTTCCAGCCGCAACCCATACACTCATACACTCATTTACATGAGGACTTTAATAACATGTTAATGTCTATATATATTATTCAAAAATGTTCATGAAATACCGAGACGTCTCTTCACTGAGAAAATGTTTTATATCTATTGAAAAGTTTAATAAAGCTTAATGACCATGTTTGGTGAATTGATGAATTATTTCCAAAATAATTTTAATTAACTACATTTTTGTTATTTTTAAACTCCTTTAATTTTTGTTTATAAATTATTAGCATAAAAATAATGATGTAAAATTTTAATGCCTGTTTATATTATTTAAAAATGTTTATGAAAAACCGAGAAGTCTCTAAACTGAGAAAATATGGATTCATTTTATACAAAAGGCATACATTTAATAAAACTAAAAAACCTCAATTAATGAATTATTTAAATGATTTAGTTTAAATTAGCTACATTATATATATATATATATATATATATATATATATATATATATATATATATATAAACTCATTTAAGTTTTTAATGAACTATTAACATAAAAGATGTTGATGTTTATAGCATTTTAATGTCTATTTATGTTATTTAAAATGTTTTTGAAATACAGAAAATGTTTATAAATTTTTATACAAAATTGCTTAAGTATTAAAATATTTATTAAAGTTTAAAAGACCAAATTTAACAAATTCTAATTTTTTAAATAGTTTTAATAAACTACATTTATTAATAGACTAATTAAAAATTTTAATTAATTATTAAAGTACAAAATCATAATGTGAATAGCATTTTAATGGATATTCAGATTATTTAAAATGTTTTTGAAATACCCAGAAGTCTTTAAAGCTGAGACAATGTTTAATAATTTTATACAAAATATTCTTGGAACTGCAAAATCAAAATTGCTAAATTATTTAGCTTTAATAAAAATGTCATTGAATCATTTAAATTAAATAGTTGTGCATAAATATTCATACATGCTATTTAAAATGCTTTAATAATTAAATCAATAAAAACTGTGATGCTATTAACATTTTAATGTGTATTTATATTATTTAAAAAAATGTTAATTGAAATGCTTTAAAGCAGGGGTGTCCATACTCGGTCCTGGAGGGCCAGTGTTCTGCATAGTTTAGCTCCAACTTCCTTCAACACACTTCCCTGGAAGTTTCTAGCACACCTAGGAAGACATTTGCTGCATCCCAATCCACATACTATCCATTCTACATAGTTTTTGAAAATAGGAATAGCATGTCCCAAACCATAGTATGCTGTAAAGAGTGTGCCAGAAGATCCCGGATGGTTTGCTATATCCGGTAAAAATGTAAGTGTAGAAGAGTCCATACTCTAACCGCTGATATTGCCCACAATACATTGCGCATTGGACACAAATTTGATCAGAACTACAAACGCGTGTGAGAGTGTAAATAAACTACAAACATGATGGACGCGTGAGACCAATCGTCAAGTAAAGAGGCTTCGGTAAAGATGTTTGAATGACTGTTAGTCAATATCTAGCCCACTGGAGAATATTTAAATCACATTATTTGTGTTATATTTCATCTGCAACAACAATATTGAACTTATGTAAAGACGCGTTTGGACATCTGAACGTCTGAATGCAGAATTATCCAAAGACCTGAGGAGATTTCTCCGCATGAAAGACTCATGAGTGGGAGATTAACCTGCTGCTGCTTCTCCAATAAGGTAGAAAATTAAATACGACAGAAATGTGGATGGTGTGTGGAATGGATGATCGACAGGGGCCCGAGTTTGTACACCCCTGCCTCAAAGACTCTAAACCAGGGGTGCCCAAACTCGGTCCTGGAGGGCCGGTGTCCTGCAAAGTTTAGTTCCAACCTCAATCAGACACACCTTGCCTCCATTCTTCGTACCTCGCTTAAAAGATCTAAGATGATTTGGCAGATCCCGGATCTTTTAATCTTGATAACTGATCTCTCGCTAATTTGGTTCTTCAAACAAGTTCGGGAATCAGATTAGAATGTCTGGATGAACTGATCTGAGATCGCTGCGTGGGTTGTGAAGGACAGATCTATCAATCCTCGAAATCATGATCAGCAATGCAACGATTGGCTGACGGCACAGCAGCGTAATGACATCATCTGATTAATATTAAATTATCCATGTGAGCAAAATTACATCAAATTAGCAGTAAACGGCTTGTTAAATATGACACGCAGTAACTTTCCACATTTGTTGTGAGCTGCAGGCTTTACACTTTCATGTGTCAAGAGTATTCATCATGTATTTCAATGCATATCAGTGTATTTAGTTCCACATTTAGAGAAGATTTTCTTTATTATAGTAGCCGTTTTTTAATTGGTGTAAAGAATAACTGGATGTTTACAAAAGCATTTTCATATTGGTAAAGGCGTCTGCAACTTTTGTAAAGCATCAAAT